TTTAGTATGTTATTTGGGTATGTGAAAATAGCCTTCAGGTAAATTTTTAGCCCTCTAGGGGCCTTAGGGCCCAAATTTGGGCTCCTCGAAGGTCCAAAAATAGCCGTTTTTACCTATTTTTGCCTATTATTCAAATATTTGTAACTCGGGCACCGGTGCATATTTTTTAACTCTGAGGGTCGCATTTTTTAGGTCAAGACATGCACTTTTCGTAAAAAAATTATGCAGAGCTCGATAGACCAACCCCCGGTTATGGGGGGGGCAATGAAGGGGGATGAAAAATCGCAAAATTGACGTTTTTTAGCTTTTTTTGAATTGATGCAGAAGGCGACTGGATTGACGTATTTACTTTTGCAACGTCTCATTTTAAAGGTATTTTTATTACCTTTAAATTGCCGTGCGCAGAATTAAGATTGGTTCAAAAACGACGGAGATAGAGCTGTTTAAAGGTGTCAACATTATGAAAAAAGGCGTTTTTTCGAGATTTCGATAAGCTGTAACTTTTTTCTAGTAACATGAATCTCTTTGAAATTTTATGTGAAAGTAGTTGATTACATGTAGTTTGAAGCCATGTAGGTAAGGATCTTGGTATTTGCCTCTATAACCGAAAACGAGGCCCCCGAAATCCGGCACTTTAGCCCTTATATAGGCAAAATACATGTTAAATTGGGCGGCAAAACTATTTGGTAACTCCTGAAATTATCGCAAAATAAACATAAAAAAAAAATCAAAAACCCCATATTAAACGTATTTTTCGACGAGGAATCCAATGGTAACCTCGAATTTGACCTTGAACATAACCTCTAAACTATAGCGAACCAAAATTGATTTTTCGCACGGTGACCCCCTTTTTTTATTTCAGATTTGAAAAGAGCGGAAAATTTCACGTTCAAATACATATTTCGTTTTTTTTTTCAAGGTAATTTTAAGGGCCCCACAGATCAAGAATAAACTCTTTGGCTGAGTTTAATATTAGTTTTAATGGAGCCTTCATTTTCAAACTGTGGGGCCCTTAAAATTACCTTGAAAAAAAAAACGAAATATGTATTTGAACGTGAAATTTTCCGCTCTTTTCAAATCTGAAATAAAAAAAGGGGGTCACCGTGCGAAAAATCAATTTTGGTTCGCTATAGTTTAGAGGTTATGTTCAAGGTCAAATTTGAGGTTACCATTGGATTCCTCGTCGAAAAATACGTTCTATATGGGGTTTTTGATTTTTTTTTATGTTTATTATGCGATAATTTCAGGAGTTACCAAATTGTTTTGCCGCCCAATTTAACATGTATTTTGCCTATATAAGGGCTAAAGTGTCGGATTTCGGGGGCCTCGTTTTCGGTTATAGAGGCAAATACCAAGATCCTTACCTACATGGCTTCAAACTACATGTAATCAACTACTCTCACATAAAATTTCAAAGAGATTCATGTTACTAGAAAAAAGTTACAGCTTATTGAAATCTCGAAAAAACGCCTTTTTTCATAATGTTGACACCTTTAAACAGCTCTATCTCCGTCGTTTTTGAACCAATCTTAATTCTGCGCACGGCAATTTAAAGGTAATAAAAATACCTTTAAAATGAGACGTTGCAAAAGTAAATACGTCAATCTAGTCGCCTTCTGCATCAATTCAAAAAAAGCTGAAAAACGTCAATTTTGCGATTTTTCATCCCCCTTCATGGCCCCCCCATAACCGGGGGTTGGTCTATCGAGCTCTGCATACTTTTTTTACGAAAAGTACATGTCTTGACCTCAAAAATGCGACCCTCAGAGTTAAAAAATATGCACCGGTGCCCGAGTTACAAATATCTGAATAATACGCAAAAATAGGTAAAAATGGCTATTTTGGACCTTCGAGGGGCCCAAATTTGGGCCCTAAGGCCCCTAGAGGGCTAAAAATTTACCTGAAGGCTATTTTCACATACCCAAATAACATACTAAATTTTGGGGCAGATCCGAGAACCCCCCGCACAAAAGTTGTACATATATGAAAAAACTGCTCATATATATATTTTCAAATTTACAAGCATTAAATTGATCGTAAAAAATGTGAATCGTCATAATTTTTGTATTATATTAAATATTTAAACAAAAGAATAAAATCGTTGAGTTTTTATTGTTCTCCCTTGTAGCATTCTTTTTTAAGTTAAATAAGAAAATCATCATTATTAAAATTGAGATTTTTAACTTAATGGTAGATCAGGACGTGAAAAAAACAGAGCAAATTAAAAAAAGGGCACATTTTTGTGGCCGTGTTAAATACTTTCCCCAAACTCGCAGTATTTTGAGACTTTATAACTACTTTTGCCTCGTTGGTGATTTTAAGGTAAAAAATTGTTCAGAATCTGCTTCTAATTTAATTTACATAATTGCCCTGTTGAAGATAAAGACACTCCTAAGTTGATTGAGAAACGAATCTAGAAAATAAGTATTTAAGATTTTAAGTTGAAATAGAATGTTGTTGTTCTTGGTTTAGGGTATTTAACATAAAAATATGTGACATGAAGCATTTAATAAATATTAGCTATTCCAACTGACATTACTTTAATTATTTTTTCTTTTTTTTTTCTTTTTTTTTCTTTAACAAAACAGTTTTTTTTAACTTTGATTAATGTGTTTTTTGTTCACTTGCGAACACGTGTTTCCTTTATATAATTTATTTCAGTTGAATCTCAGCTAAAGCATTTCAGTGTCAATGTATAAAGCATAATAAAAGAGGAGACAATAAAAGACTGTGTAAACGTATTTTTTTACTTTCACTCTATATGCTTCAGATGGAAGTCTGAAGTAATATTTTTTCTGCATTTAGTTATATTCATCACAAAACCGAGTGGTTTCATCAGTCACGTGATACCTGGACCTCGTAAAAAGCATCCTGACTGTTTTTTACGAGAAAACTCGCTTCAGCTGACATTGCTACGTGATAATGACGTAGTCACATAAGCAAACTATAAGTAATTTTCTAACGTTTCGTCTTCTTAAATTTGGTTTTCCTCAACGAGAGTTTTTATTGAGTTTTTCAAATTAACCACGATGAAAAGTTGAATAGTTAAATATTTGCTAATTAATGTTTCACAAAAAAGTTGAAAAATTATTTCTAATTTAATGTCCATTTCGATTTTTACAGTTATTAATTTGTATGGGAATTGTTTACATTGAATACATTTTTAAATTTATATTTATAATACTCAAAGAGTATCTGCTATAATTGAACGACGTTTGAAGTTAAATGAATATTTTTCTTACGATATAAAGTAATTGGCAAAAAATTAGTCTCTAGCATGTGCTTCCACTTTTTTTACAGTCTTGCAAATTAGTTTTGAGTTAATCGGTGACGGTGCCATGTGGTCCTTTTTCAGCAAAATAGAGTTGGCAGGCCGAGCCAAGGGAGCATACTACGACGTCAGAAGGGCACGCGCAGGCAAAAGAAAGGGAGACGAAGAGGCGCAGACAGACCTGCGTAAAAGGACGGGTACAGGTTGCGCATTCGAAACGAGGGTAGTCGAAAAGCTTCTTGCGCGTGAAAGAGATAGAGAAAGAGAAATGCAGAGTTGTATAGAGGTCGTGAAGTTGGTTAGATTTCCTAGAAAAAGATAATTTACATTTTAATTGATAGTGAGAGTTTCTAGAAAGGAGGGACATCACGAATGGTGCTGGGTATAGACTCTTGTTTAGAAACTACTTACTTTGCAATTACCTTTTCGTGAATTTTTTCGTTCACATGTGCTTATATTGAAAAGAATGATTAGAATAAGGGATCCTATCATAATATATTCAGATTAGCAAATTCACAATATTAGAAATTTATACTTAACCAAGAACGTTTACGCTATGACACTTCTTCGATGATTATTTAGTAGAGGTAAACAATTACTCGATTCTTGGCATTAGATTTTTATTTCTATCAGTGTATCTATTGTAACTAAAGCTTGTTTATTGAACGCTTATTTTTGATTTTCTATTCTTTGGAACGTTTTTGGACCTAACATTTATATCCACGATATGCGCATAAGTTTATGCAAGAAGGATATTGCCGTTGCTCAACTATAATTCTGAATTATAAGTATCGTACAATTTTTTTGAATTTCCATTATCTCGAGCTCAGCAAAACTCCGTTCATCTCTTAGCATTTACTTACTGTCAGAATCGCCCCCTTTGTCAAAGTGATTAATAAATTTCTGTATAAATCTCTTTATTAGGCTAACAAAGCCCGATAATCTGTGCTTTACTTCCCTATAACAGGTGCAAAATCAATAACCTAAAAGATAAACAGTGTTAACAATTTGGATTCAATGAAATTTGATAATTTCCTTTCAAAACAATGACAATTTGATTGATAATTTTTTTAATGTTTATCATTTTTTTTCATTACAAATTTTGAACAAAAATCTATTCATTCATTCGTGCCTTTCCATTATATATGTCTTGATAATATATATAAAATTAATAAATAAAATTTAATTTAGTACTGCTGAAATCTTTAATGAATTAACATAATAATAAAGTTTATTTATCATTGCCTTCAAATTCTAAGCAATGTTAATGATATTTGGTAATAATTACAAAATGCTTATTAAAATTTTAATAAATAAAATTCTACAGTTTCTGCATGCCAGAAATAATAAACTTACGATAAAACAATTGGTTAAAATGATAAAGATATACTTATATTGGAGTGCCGCTTAATTTATTCCTAATTTTTTTTCTGCTCCTTCTCCCTCTTCTCTCTCTCTTAGGTAGATAGCTTTATAAATCATAAATTTAGCCGAATGACTATTACGCAATTTTTATTTCGATTTTTCTAGTGGTTTTTACCGATTGAATTTTTGAAAATTCTAAAAAACTCTTACTACAAAATTCCTAGATGATTAATACCGCGTCAAAGTTAATGTATAAACTAATGTATCAATGATAATGTAACTATAAATGTAAACATAAAAATGACAAAAATGACATTGTATCTCAATGTATAAAGTATTAAAATGTATAAATACTCTTAAATGACAAAAATACTCATGCATGTAATTAAAAAATAAATAAATATAATAAACTAACAGTTAAAAACAATTTTTTTAAATGTCACACAACACTAATTTACAAAGTCACTAACAACATCCATTTCCCCAACATGCGCACCATGGCACATTACCACTGGTCGTACTCCCTCTGCGAGCTTTTTCCCCAGAAGTCGACTCTCGATTACTGATCGAATTTATCTTTCTTATTTCTGAATTCATTGCGTTACCGTCGAACGTTTCGTCCCTCATTGCAAGACTTCGCTCCCTCTCATTTTCAACGCTATAGCTTCGCGAAGTTCTCGAACTCAGAGACGGGCGTTTCTTCGTACTAACATACAGAGATACCCTCTTAGTGTGTTCCTTTTTCGGCGACTCTTGACCAGACGAAGATGATCTACTTTCTCGCTTGTCATCTTGACCCTCGAAATTGCGTGACTTTCCGATCGAAGATTCCGGCGTGCAGCTAGATCTCTTTTTCGACGATTCTTTGCGTTTGATCGATCTTTTCTTTTCTTTGATTGAACCACTTTTTTCTCTTCTTGAGCGTCGTTTTTTTGGCTGATCTGGCTCCGTCTTGGCGTTTTCTTGACTCGTATCTTGAGTTTTTGGTTCAATATCCACTTGAATTAATACCTGATCGTCTGGAGAAGTTTGCGTTTGCACTGGAACTTTCATCCCTACCGTGTCGTAGTACATTCTCATGCCTTGTCCGGGATAATACACGGCTGCACCTCTGGGTTCAAAAGGCATATTCTGATACAGCTTAGAATTATGGGGTAATGGACTCGTACCTGTTGGCATTCTTCGAAGAGCATCGATTTCATAGGGTGTTAATGGTGGAATTCGCATCGTGTGGGGGCTAGGAGTTTCGAACGAAGTCACTTGGTACTCTGTACTACGATCGATATTTTTAGTTGGCGATGTTGTCAATCTTAAGGGTTCCAAGCCTTTACGCCTACAAACATTACAATCTTGATCAACCATATTCGGACCTGTAAAACTTGGTTGCATTCTGACGGGACTCGAGTAACCAGATGTTGGTACAGGACTTTCACTTATTTGAATTGACAACGGATGTATAATTGGGCTTTGACCTCCTGTGCGTAATGGAAAATTCTGATAAGCTTGCTCAAAATTTTGAAGGAATGGATTGTTTAAAAATTTGTAATCAATCAAAGGTAGTTTTACATCTGGCGTATTCGGGCTTGATGATTTAGATTCTTTTACGGATCGATCTATTCGATTTAAACTTTTAGTTTTCAATTTACGGAAAATATTGTGTAGTATTGAATCACTTTTACAGCGTTTATTTTTCGAAAAGTCCACATTTTCACAGAATGGAGTATATGATTTAAATAAATCACACGATTTAGACTTAGTGAGTCTTGTTCTATGTTCCGGTGAAATTGTTAATTTATCCTTTGTTGTCGATACATTTTCTGAACTAAAAAAGGGTTTAGCATCACCTTGTTCTATTTTCAGTACATCATCAAAGCTATCCGTACTATAATTATGCTTTTTAGGTAATTTCCATTTGGTTGCCAATGGTGAAAATAATTGTTTTGGTCTAACAGCTGTTGGTGGTTTTTTATCAATCAATTGCATGTTGTTTATATCTATTGCAAGATTTGAATTCTGAACAATGCTTGAAGAGCTTGATGTAAAATTGATTAAATTCTGAGCTGGGTTGCTTATGTTACTGTCATAGGAAATTTTTTTTTCGGTGTCATCAAAATTTGAATGTAGATTGGAACGAAGTAGTATTTCATTTTTTGCATTTAAGCTCATATCTTCAGTCGTATTTGTCAGCAACGAAAAGTTAGGTAATGTTATTGGATTTTCTCTGTTCGCGTTACTTTGCCAGCCAATGGGTGGGGTAGCAGTAGACACGACAGATGGAAAAGCCGAACTCTGCGAGCTTATTTCGACATTTGATTCCAGCTGAGATGCAGTTGCTAGAATAGTTTGCGGATTTATTGAGAAGCTAGTACCATCAGAGAACGTTTGTGGGCAAGTCATAGGGAGGCAGTTTCTATCGGCAGCTATGATGTTTGAGTAGCCTCGTGCGTCTCCTAAAGTTGGAAATATAAACGGACAATCGCTTTGATAACCAAAACTAGTAGTAGTCAGTGGAACGGCTTGATCGAAAGACGTTGTATAGTAAGGAAAGTTTTTGCTTTGGGTCATTGTTGCCGATGATATTGATGCTGGTTGTGCGGTAGATATACTTCGCTGTTCGCGCGGGTCCGCATTGACTACTTTGTCCTCAACAATCGTTGATTCGTCTTCTTCATTTACCGAAGGGAGATTATCAAAATTTGGTCTAGCTCGGACGGTACTTGACGTAACATTGTTTCCCAGCACTTCCGTTGATATTTTTTGATTTTCAGCATTTTCAACAGATTCTTCTTTTATTTTACCCTCCTCCAACTCATCTGATTCAGATGCTTCTTCTTCGCTCTCATCACCTTCTTCGTCATCTTCATATTCATCAGAGTATTCATCACCGTCTTCATTTTCTGAGCAATTCTAGAATTACAATAAAATATTATTATTTTTCATTGAAAATACATTTACGGAGTTTGAAATCTATTAATATTTTCTGTAGCAATAATATTCAAATAAAATTAGCGATGATTTACCAATGTATTGCGTCTAATCATGCTTTCAATTTTATTGTATTCATTTTCTTACTTTTTTATTTATTCTAACGAATTTTATATGCCTTCGCTGCTAAGCGTTGGTGATCTATAAGCTATATCTAAACTCGCGTTTGTACACAATGCACGGATACCAAGTGTGACAAAAGATCGAAACCGAATCGATTGACTTGACATTACATTTAAAAAAAAGATAAGGTGATGCCGAAGCCCCGATTTTGACCGACCGCGCATTAAAAATGTAAATTTAAATAACTTTTTTACTACACCGATTTTCGAAAAACGGCTCTGTGGAGCCCTTCGTATTGTTGCTGTGAACAACTGCACCAAATTTCAGCCAATTTCATCGGGTAGTTTTCCCGGAAAACAGGATCGAAATTTTTAATTACTGTTTATAGGATAAAAAATTTTGATCCTGTTTTCCGGGAAAACTATCCGATAAAATTGGTTGAAATTTGTCGCAGTTGTTCACAGCAACAATACGGAGGGCTCCACCGAGCCGTTTTTCGAAAATCGGCCTGGAAAGAAAGTTACGAAAATATACATTTTCTGTGCTCGGTAGGTAAAAATTGTGGCCAAGGCATCACCATAAGATTAAGTTGAACAATTTAAATCAATTTCAATAAAACTTTGATGATTAAGAGGACAAACCAGTATTAAAAGCTTAACTGATAATTATGCAAATAAAAATGCATTAATTAAGTTTCAACAAATGTAACTTTTTCCCATGTTTTTTTGCTACATTTTGAATGAAACAAAACTTAATAGAAGTCCAGGGTATCAAAGTAGCATCCAAGATACCTAATAGTATATTTTGTAACAAGTGCGCGTAGCAGTTGTTCTCTCGCTACGTTCGGGTAAAAACAACTCCTGGGTGAGTCAACTTCCTCGCGAAACGATATTTTTTAACTCTGCTTGCGAGAGCTTGCGAGCAACTAGGGTTTTCTGACGTTTTAAGGTTAGAAAACCCGTGTTTCGCGCACGTAGTTTTAAAAAATATCTTTTTAACTTTTAAAACACTTTACCGCAGGGTTTTATGAAGAGTTTATGGCCAATCTTCATGGTAAAAAAGTATCCACTTCCACTTAAGTGTAACAGAATTTCATATAAGTCAATAATTTTTTTTTAACTGACATTATAAGCCTTTTTAAGTATGAAATATTAGCTTTATTTGATTTTTTTAATATTTATAGTCATAAAAATGTTTCTAAGGCATTTTTTCAAAATTCTGTTACACTTAAGTGGAAGGGAATCTTTTTACAACGATTTTAGCCCGTCAACCATAAAGATTGGTCAAAAACTCTACATAAAACCCTGCGGTAAAAGGTCTTCAAAGCCGAAAAGATGTTTTATGTATCTTGAATGCTACATTGATACCCTGGACTTCTATTATGTTTTTTTTTCATTTAAAATGTAGCAAAAAAACATGGAAAAAAGTGACATTTGTTGAAACCTATTTAATGCATTTTTATTTGCATTATTATCAGTTAAGCTTTCAACACTGGTTTGTCCCCTTAAATGAAATCAACAATTAAACCATTTTATAAAATAATAAGTTTCATTGTATAGGCTAACCTCTAATTCTTCGCTATGCTCTCGAATATTTTGCTGCTTCTTCAACAGGTCTTCGAGTTTGCAATATTCATCACGTAAATTCCATATTTCTTTTTTTAGCAGTTCGTTTTCTTTTCGAAGTTTCTTGATGTCACTCTGGCCTGAAACAAATAAGTATTTTACAATTAAAATGACGTTTAACATGAGTAAAAGCATAAATGGAATACAATAACTCGAATCTCGAGACGAGAATTGGGCTTTTTGAAAATTCCTGAAAATAAGTCACTTTCAGGATACTGACAGAGTCAGTATTATCAGGAATATGATTGATATAATTGATTGAAATCATTTTTGAAATATCTCAATTTATGTCTTCGTAGATATGACCGAGGAATATTATTCAAAAAGTATTTTAAAGATTGAACAAAAAATTTCGTTTAGTCTTTATTCATTACGGTACCTATTGCTAAGTTGCAGACATAGTGAGATTTCACACGAAAATCGAAATTTAGACGAATAATCAAATCTTGCGTAAAACTTGTGATAATTTAAGAAGTAGCAAACTAGGTGCTCAATTAGCTCGATGTCAGACTCAGCGAGGGTGGCGGCTGCATGCGCGACTCCTCTATATTCTTTGGCTCATAAGGATTTTGCCTTTTCGGTGCAGCGTGTATCTCTTTAATTCAGAGTGATATACTTTGCATAGTGAAAAAGGCAAAACATGTAGCTTGTTTTTAGATTGAAAAGAGAGGAATTTGTAAATTTGAGGTAAAAGAATTTAAAAAACGATTGTTTTATTTGAAGTAGAATTTTAAGCTTTGTAATTGCAGTCTACCGTGAGTCAGTAAAATAGTATATTTTGCACTTATGGAGTGAAAAACTGGAAAGTCTCAGAGCACGTCATTCGCTTGATAAAAAGACGAATCGGATCGGTAATTTTGTTTATTATGCGTTTAACAGTTTTATCTCAGTTGAAGCAGGTCATTTATTATATCAATAGAACGCAAATCAATTTTGCAACCACTAATATTGAAATTCCGTGGTGGACAATTTTGTATGCTGCTGTTGAGAAGGTTTATGAAGCGTTCTCTTACCTGCTCGATAGAAAGATAATGAGCGTAAATATGCAAGCAGTTGAAAAGATGGAGAAAAACAAGCGAGCCTCTATAAAAGTATTCAAGAACAAGGTAAAGCTTTGGAAAAAGAGAGAAAAAGCAGAAAAAAAAGAGATCGTAGAAAAGCAAAGTCGATGAATGAAGCCACCTAGTCGAGTAGAAACGTCATTGTCGAGTAGCTGTTCAGCGACGACGTCAGGTGGCTACTGCTACTACTGCTGCTACTACTACTACTACTACTACTACTACTACTACTACTACTACTACTACTACTATTACCGATGCCGACGAAAGGGAATGAGAGTCGCAGTGTACGCGAGGAAGAAAGACAAATCCGCACAAGTACGTGTATAAAACAGCTCGTGAATTGCTCGTCCTATTCCCGATGGAGTGATTTGCACGAGCAGTAGATAGAAGACGTCCGTATAACGGCGCGAGCGGCATTGAAGGGTGTACTGTGTGCACATGTACTTTCATCTACTAGTACATCCGTTAAGAGTACTGGTCTGCGCACGATTTCGGATTTTTGAACCTGAGCCCTCTCAGCAGCATTACTTTTCTGAGCTCGTTCTTTTTTTCACGCCATAACAGACATTATATGCTAGAGAAAGGCTACCTCAAATTTTAACAATTTTTTTAAGTACGCTTTAAAACTCAATTTTAGTTAAAATTTTCCATCACTTTTTAAAAGGATACACATTAACCTTTTTTATTTATTTGAAATAAACACGATTGGTCTTTTTAATGTTTCTTTTTTTTGTAGTGACACACACGAATAGATAAGGCTAATTAACTTTAGGGAAAACATTATATGCAACGCAATGTATGTACTCGTATTCTTTGCAATTGTAAGTTTTTGTTTGGGCTTGCTGTTTATGCATACTTTTTTTGAGAATTCAAATTAACGCACGCGGTTGATTGAAAAGAAATACAGTTTCTAGTTGTTGCAAAAAAGGCTAGGCATACCATGAAATACGGTTTGTTATATGGGAGTCTCATTATCACAGTAGTCACGGCTCTCTCTCTCTCTCTCTCTCTCTTTCTCTCTATCTCACTCTCTGCCCTTTCTGTATGTGTCTCTCTTACTCTTTTTCTCCTCGTAATTTTTATTAGTGCTGTAGCTTTGTGCGTGTGTACTTTGTTATCTGCCCGAAGCACGTACGAAGAGTTGAAACAAAAAATTATCGTACAATGTCAACAGCTCGATTGCCCGGGCTTCGGTGAGCGATTTTAGTTGTAAATGTAGATTGGGCGTGGTTTTTCGTAATTGTCACATTTATATTGCTGTTTGTAAATTTGTAAACAGTTAAAATTTCGTAAAATAATATTCAAGTGACATAATACAAATATTTTATGATTTTTTGAAAATTTATATGACGACTTTTTCTAATGAAAACATTTTTTGGTCGTTACTTTGCAACCTAAACGCAATGATTGAAAATTAAGTTTTAAAAGTGATATTTTTAAAAATTAGTCACATTTAGCTCAAATGAATTTAAAATATTATTCCGAGTGGCTTGGCTGAAAATACGCAAAAATGTATAACCACACTTCAAAAGGTTGAGGTTTGATGAAATGTTTGTCAACAAAGCGGTTATACTTATAACGTTTTGAAGAGAAATAGATACGGTTGCTTCTTATGAATGACATCGATTGACAAAGCAGACTCAAAAAATAGTTTTTCGAATACGACGGGGAGCCACTAATCGCGGTGAAATACGGCAACGCGTGATATTTTTAACTTCAATATCCATGTAAATAATAAAAACATAACAAGTATCTAATTTTTCTTGGTTTAGCCATTTCAACGGCTATAAACTATATATCAAGATAGTGGCAATAAATACCTTGATAATACTTTGAATCAACGATTCACTAGATTGAGCAAAGGTAAAAACAGAAATACGTCGCGCCGATATGACACAAGCAGCAGGGCCTCTTTCGCTCATTCTCTGGGTACGATGAAACGAATAGCAAAGGTTCCTTTCGTGGACGGTGCTGTACAAAGGTAGGATTTCGTCATCACCTTTTCGCCAGGAAAGCATTTCGATCAAAGACTCGCGGATGAAGGAATACTCGAGCTTTTTGCGTACGGCAAAGATTGTGAGCACACCCGCGTGCTCGCGCAAACTTCTTATATATAGAGTCAAAGGCAGAAATTGCGTCTTGTGCACGTGGCTCTCGCAACAGCAGTTGTAACTGAATTCTCGCGTGAGCCTTCGTCACTTTGATGTCGAGATATTTCGAAGAATGTGCGACGAATAACAGAGTTAGAGAAATTTCTCAACCATATACGGTGAACGAGAAGGAAAAGGAAGTGTGGCGAGCTTACGCGCCTTCAGAAAAGATATATGAAGGTGGCAAGCATAAAACATAGTACTAGTGCCTGTAAAGCCTAATATGACGAAAATGGTAAATATTGCAGAAATTGCTGGTCTTAGTAAAACCTAGTTTTACTTTCATCTACGCTTTATTGAAGTTCTATGAGTGCAGACATTGCAACTGTTTTGTGTTTAATTAAAATTTTCAAACACATTTGAGTGTGAGCGATAATAATTTATGATTCACGGACATTCAATTCGAAGAAAAAAATAAAATATTTGACGCGTAGCACGTGGTGTTTGTCAATATAAATTCCTAGTGATGAGCGAACTACTTTATGAGCTACTAATTAATAATCTAGCTCTTTTTCTATTGATTATTAGGATAAAATTACATGTGCCAAAATTTGTGGTTAGATCAATCAGAAAATGATCTCGAAGGCCATGGCATTGATCATATAAAAAGAAATGAAATAATAATAACCGGGTCAGCATGAAATTGGATTTAGTGTATGTAAAATTAGAAAAAATGCGTCAGAGTGAATGCTTTTCGACACTTGGATTTACTTAGCAATTGTACGTTTTTTTTACTTCAAGGTTTGTTGTAGTTGAGAAATCGGCAAGTCTTTAACGTACAAACCAATACTTTTGGAAAGTAATCTTTTATTTTTCTTGAAAAATGTTTCACGCGATTGCTTGTTTCGTTTCGAAAAAACATGCAACTGCGGCGTCTACAGACAAAATTTACTCCGGCAACAGCTGTTAATGACTTACTTTAAGAACAAACTTAATTTTCAATGACATTTTTCGCACTCCTGTTATACCCGGTCAATTCCAATTTTCGCAAAACAAGGAGGAAGTATCTTACGAGTAGTATGTGGCACTGTGTAACTGCTGCTAAAATACGTCACGAATGCTTTTTTTCAACATACACCATCTTATACGGCGTGGAAAGTAATTCCCCTCGCTTCGACTTGAGCTCGTAAAAGAAACTCCTTGTGTAAACACTGTTCAAAAGATGTATAGTTAATAACTTCAAAAAAGATTCATAACCTCAAAGTAAACCTTCGATTTTTTTAGCTTGATAAATTTCATATCGAAATAAAAATGCTGACTACCCAGTGGTGAATAGTGACTACTACTTAAAATTTATACGGCTTACACACGTGTGGCTGAAGTTACGGTTACATGACCCACGTGTTTTTGCGTAATTTTAAAACTAGCCTGAAAAAATATGTATTTGCCATTTATTCTTCGCGGTTATTTAGTATGGTTCCATGTGAACACTAGTCTAATATACAGTCGGCAGATATATAGTGCACGCGAGTATCTTGGGGATACGAAAAGTTTCGGACCATAAAGTACTTTCTTAAGTGGAATGTGCGCAGCAGCAACATCAGTAGCTGAGCAAAAGGGTCGCACGAAGTTTCAATCTGCCGCGGAATTTCGAGGTTTACTTAAAACCACCACCCAGCGTTCTCTTTATTTTACTTTCTCTTGCCAAGAGCAAAAGAAGAAGAGACTTGTTTTATGCCCTTACGATCTTAGTTAGATGCTTTCGCCCTTTTGTTTGCTCCTAGAAATGCACATGCGTGATACGAAATTGAAATTTTCAATTTTCATAAAACGCGTATAGTCATGTTGGCTCTACTGCTTTTTAACCCTAGTGTCAAGCAAGCTGCATACTATTTCAATATAACAGAGAATAGTTTAGTTATATGTTGG